AGTTAAGCAGCCAAAATTAAATAGATTTGGGGGCAGCCCTGCTCCCCATGTACTACCACCCACGCCTGTTCTTATGCTGTGAGCCAGCTCCCTAGTTGTAACCCGGAATATAATGTTGCGGTCGGATTGCCACTGGTGTTGCCATCATAGTCCTGCCGTTATAAACATACTCTTCCTGATTTATTTTGTAAATTTATTAGTTGCAGACCCTGTGTGAAAGTGTTTTACAGCAATTGAAAAGTGCATTGAAGAGGAAATAGCAGCATCACAAATAGGGTTGCAAGTGCATCACTCTTGCAGCTGCCTGCTGAGTTGTTTCTCTAGCGATTGACAGGTGAAAGGAGCATAATCACTTCTTTCATCACCCTTTCCCCATCCTTGTCATTAATCTGGAGCCTGCTACCAGTCCATTTTTGCTGCCTCTGCCTTGGTCCTTCCTTGAGCTTCTCTGGGAACTTTTGTTGATCTATTGCTTGCCTGATCTGCATCCAGCTTCTCCACATGTACATATACTGTACTGCTTGGTTTATGGTGTGGTGCTTCATCACATTTCTTGCCCTATGAAGATGATAGTATTAAAATATTTTATTTTCTTTGTCTGATCTTAAGAAAAATGTCAGCAGCAAAATTCTTCACATCTTTGTTACATGCTATGTGGATCTCTCTCACACCTTGCCTTTACTCTAGTGGTTCCCAACCTTGGTTCCCCAGATGTTCTTGTACTACAACTCCCAGAAATACTGGCCAGCACATTTAGTAGTAAAGCCTTCTGGGACTTTGAGTTTAAAAGCATCTGGGGACCCAAGATTGGGAAGGACTGCTCTGCTCCATTTTCTGATCCTTCGTTGGCAGCTATGGCCTTCCAAATGCTTTTGGACTGCAGCTCCCATAATTCTGCATCACTCATTATGTTGGCTGGAGTGGATGGGCATTGTAGGCCGAAAGTATCCGGTAGGTCATCATTACCCACCTCTGTTCCTCATTAAAATTTGTAATTTGTGCCTTGAAGTACTTCACAACATTGTCTAATCCCCCTTGTTTCTTCTTAATCGCCTTCAGAGCTCACCACTCCTTACTGCAGTTCTTTCCATCTATTTTCATATCATGTTGGAGAGGGAAACGAAGATATATTTACATGACTTAGCCATCAATACCTATGGTCAAACAGATGCCTATTTCATCAGTATGCTACCATTTCTCCAAGAAACTCAGTGTTACCTGCTTTATCTTTGCAACTGTGCAGTGGAGTAAAAATCTGGTGATTTGCCTCTGTGCTTCAGCCACAATACCATACTTTCTTTCAGTCTTTTTAATGTTATTTATTTTTATTTTCCTGAGAGATGGAACATAGTCAAAATTTGTTTGCAAGAATCACTTGTTTCTTGAGACATTTTGATGGAAATTTTCTACAGTAGTCAAAGAGTGGGTAGTTCTGTAGATTTAATACTATGGAGATCATTATGCACATTAGCAGCTGGAAGGACAGAAACTATTGGGGAGGAACTAGTGACTTTTCCTTTTGTATATATTAAGAAAAAGTATTGTGGCATTGGATTTGCAGGTACTTTATCATTGCTACACCTGCTGTGTGTGTGCTGGTGGGATGTTTCCTGTCACACACTGCAATCTTGAGGGATGGATGTAAAGTTTTCATTGTGTGATGATAGGCATGGCTCATTTGTTACAGTTGTGTTCAGACTTCTTTCTGTCTTTTGTGTTTCAGACAAATTGCCTCTTATTCATACTATGTATTGTGTTCTATCTCTTCCACTAATCATACTCATCTATTCTTACTGTCGAATGACATCTTTCTGTAGGTCATCAAGGTAAATTTCAGTGGCCAAAGATGGAACTGTTATGGAGTGCTTTATAATGGTAGCATTGTCATGTATGTGTTTGTGTGAACTTAAGACTGCAATTGGAATATATCTGAAATAAACACGAAACACAGTATGTCTGTGCAGTTTATTATACGTAGACATGAATTTGGAGGCTTAGGCATGTGGTGAGGCATTCAAAAGAACACTGTAGTTTCTGATCTTTGTTTGCATTGATACATATTTGGTCAAGTAAGACCAAATTGTTGTTTTAAGGTTAAGATTTATTTTGATTCTTACTCTAAATTGTTTACTATGTGGGGCATCCTTGTCGAGTCCAAGCAACATTAATAATTGCACAGGTCAGCTGCCCATCATCTTCTCTATCTTTCTCTTCACCTGGCTTTGATCAGTTTTTATTACTAGGTTCTATTGCAGTGTTTCAGGCCACATTAAGTAACTCCATCCACTACTCCATAGGATCAGACCAAAAGCTGATCAAGTCAAGCATTCTGTTCCCATGGTGGCCAACCAGGTGCCTAAGGGAAAGCTGACAGCAGGACGTGAGCACAATAGCACCCTCCTGTTCCTGTTCCCTAGCAACTGGTACTCAGAGGAAGACTGTCTCAGATACTGGAGGTAATATATAGCCATCATGACTAGTAGCCATGAATAACTCATCCATTCTCAGTTTATCCGGACTTTTTGAAAATGTCCAAGTTGGTAACCACTGGATCTTGTGATAGCAAATTCTATAGTTTATGCTGTATGTAAAGAGGTTCTAGTCTGTTCTCAGTCTGCCATTGTCATTGCTACTTTTAGCCTCTGAGATTAATACACAAAACTTGATTTTTTTCTATTTAATTATTATTGCTGTCGTAATGTCAACACCTTTTGCTGCCTTCTTTTGCTTGAGTCTTCTGAAACTGTTTTGTTGACATCTTTTGTCTTTAGGGCATCCTGTGTTGAATTGAGTAGGTTCAGCTGTATATGTTCCTGCATTATAGCAATAGCAGACAGCAAATCTTTGCAGCTTGGCTCCATTCACTTCTTAAATCTATATTTTGAATTAATATGGTTGAAAAACAGCCATGGTTTTGGATTGAAAAAATCTCAGCCATTATCTTTTCTAGCTCTATAGACTCACACTCTTGATCATTCACTGAAAACAGTATTGTAAATAGGTTGTGATCTTTTACATGTTCTTTATGTAGCTTACACGGTTTACTTTTTGTCTTCAGATTAAATCCTAGATGTTCCTTTTGAGCTCCTCATGTTCATCTTTTCCATCAACTAGTCAGCTTTCCCCTTTCTTAACTTTGTCCATTGTCTAATTCATCATCACCACCACTGTATACATCTGAAATAGTTTCCTTTGATTCAGCTCCTCTATTTGGCAAGTAATATTTCCCATAATGCTTGTTTTCTGTTTGCCTGCAATAGTTTGCCCATATCTTTTGATAGGTATTTGCAAATAACAATGAACTAAACTCACTTTTTTCTTGATTTTATTGATCTTTGCTCATTTAATTTTAAAAAATAGCCTCTATGCCTGGATTCAATATCATATTTCTAGAGCAATAGCTCTGTTACTTTTTTATGGTACCTCTTGTGGTACAGTAAACAAATGTAATACAGCCTAAATTTTAATGGATGCCATCCACTTCATCAGATACACTAATTGTTATCTCTGGTTCCTAGGTCAGAGAGAATTGAAATGTAAAGAAATGGTAATTATCTTATCTGTTAATCTCCCTTTTTATGTGTTTATGGTTCATTAAGGGTATTACCGTGATTTTTTTCCGGATCGGCTACTATTTACCTTAATTATTGCATCAGTGCCCCAGTAGCTGTTCCACAATCCCAACCCATTCTGTGTATAAATCTGCCAATGTGAGCTAACACATCATGTTATCTGATAAGTGAACAGAGTCCACAAAACAATATGCCATAATACATTTATTGATTTATAAGAGGACAATGTATTGAATTTGATGCATAGTTGGAAGAGATAAGAACTCTTTCCATTTCATCTACTTGTTGTTTGCCTACCATATGGACTTATAATTATCTGGTTTGTATCATATAAATATTTTTTTCATACTTCTGTATTGCTTCCTTAACACTACCTGCTTCAGTATCTGAAAGCTTTCCTGCTTTTTCTAATGTTCTTTGTTAGATACCTTTATGTCCTCTTTTATCTTCTGTTGCTGGATATTGTTTCTTATAGTCTTAATTTTTAGTCTTGATTTTTAACAAAATAATTAGCATACAGATTGCATCTCTAAATTTGTAAACATTTAGAAATACTTACCTGACTTACCACATGGATTCTTATGGTGGTCTCCTCAAGTTTGTAATTTTCATCTCCAGTGAAATCTATTAAAAAATTTGTGCCACCTAGCTTGGTGAAGAATTCAGAAAAACTAAAAAAGGCACATGGTTAGATTTTGTTTCCATGACTAGTAAAATGATAGGTGCCAGTCTTGGATCTGCCCAGAAGACCCAGCCTTTATTTCATAGTGAGAGAAAAAGGTGGTGTATGAATTCATTAATTCAATCATTGAATAAGTATCATACCCTTGAATAGATTAATACAAGTAAAATCTGGATGCGAGTCTGTTCTTGTATGATGAGCAGCTGCAGTTTATGTCGATGACACTTTCCTAGAGAAGCTTCATTGGGGACAAGGCAATTATCTTTCCAGTTTACAGTTGGGACATGTTTCAGTTGATTGCCAGATTTTCTGTGACTTCAGTCTTGTCATTTTTTGACT